ATTGAATAGAATTATCCATCAGTATTATCTATTAATAGTCTACCACAAATATTGTCTTTTCAGCTTTAAATAATTCTGACAGATTGTTGGCAAATAAAACATGCAGACTTCCTGGTGACAGAATAATGGACAAAGATTATAGCAGGAAGATAGAAGAATTTTTTCTCCTTATGGTGGACATTTTTGCTCTGTGAGGTTACACAACCATCAAATTAAATTAAATGTTTGAGTTGAGATAACTTTAATCTATAGAAAATAACAAAATAGCTATAATAATTGCCTGAAACAGCATAAAATGAATGAAATATCCTCTTTTATAACCTGCTTGTCTCCACCAGTCCTTTCGCGAAATTGGGTTCATTCGGATCAGCTTGCCAGCCCATCACAGGGCAATGCAGCCGACAAACAGCCACACAAGCATTCTCCATGGAGATATACAGATAATTTAGCATCATTTAAAGACTGCAATCAACCTAAGTCATGTTTTTTGGCCCTGTGGGAGGACCCAGAGAGAACCAGTTAGAGAACATGTAAACTCCATTCAACAGGGCTACCAGTTGCACCACCGTTTAGATCTGGAGAATGAATCTGTTACCAACGTTTTTTTCAAAGCAGTTAAAGCAAACATTTTTAGGATGACCTTTACTCTATAAACCATAAGCTTGCTTAGCAATGATTAAAATACAGCTTATTGAAACATGATTGTTCTGCATACCCTGTTTATACCAAAATCCAGAAGTTCCCAACCTTAAGATTCAGTCCCCTCCTTTACACTTTTTGCAGAAACATTCTTGTTTTCTATGACATGTATATTTCCATGTATCTTTTAGTGGTGCAGAGCATTGGTAATTATTCACTGTGCTAAGTCCATTGTGTTGATTTAGAAAAACATCACAGAGGGGCAGGGATGTGTGCCTTATGTGTCCAACTCCTGGCTCTTTTCATGTCCATATGCCTCCTGCTGTGTTTGTGAGTCTATCTTCTGGTCAAGGATTTATTTCTCCGGAAAATTTAGAATTAATTAAAAATGTATTTTAAATTCTGCATTTTTTCATTTAAAATAAAATTGGCTACAAGGCTTTAGAAGGTTGTTGGTCAGAAGAGATAAAACAGCAAACCAAACCCTGAGTAACAGACTGTATGCAGTCAAGTTCAACAGAATAGTGATACGGTCTTTTATAAATGTGATTTAAAACAGAAGAAAACACTTGAAAAAGCATATATAAATGCCAAATTCTCCATTGAAGACTCTGCTTTTTATCTACCTCTATCATCCAAAACAGAAGCAGCTCTCCATGTTGGTCAACAACTCTTTCACTGTAGCCCATGAAGGAAGTCTAGGAGATTGCCTCATTAAAAGGTGTCAGCTATCACACACACGTTTCTCTTCACAGGGTTTCACAAACTCTCACACCTTGGCTGAAACACTTTGCATGGTAACGTGGTTATGAAACATTTCATTAGTGATAGCAACCCAGACGGCTCACAAGATGGAAGGAGGTGGTCAGACGTGCTGCATAATTTCAAATGAGAAGTTTCAAGTTTTAAAGAAGTGAGAATTTCTCAAGATATTAACAGCTCCCAAAAATACTCAGTAAAAAGTGTTACTGAGAAAATAGCTGATTTTCATTTTGTTTTCACTTTAGTATAATAGACACTGACCCAAAGATGTGTGTGGAATCCTTTGGTCAGTTTTTAATCATTTCCGAGCTTGGAAAAGACCCAATCCTCTAGGTAGCATTTCTTCTCCTTTCTAACCATAGCTTGCAAAAGGTACCACAATTTCTTTTTATCTCAAAGCAGCTTTTATTTGAACCATTTATGCTTTTTAAACATGTTTTTGATGTTTTATTTTTTTATTTATATCTTTAGAAAAATAAACTTTCTTCTTTCTTCATTCTCCTTACTTGCTTTTTCATGTGCACGGGCTAAACAATCCAACAAATCCTGATTTGTGGAAATGTATCACCCATTTTGGGTCTTTGTTCTAAGATCAGAACCCAGAGTTAATTCCAAAATAAATACACCAAGGTTGTCAAAGCTTCACCAACCATGTTTGGATTCATTGTTTTAATTCCTAATGAGTCATTCCGAAAGCACTTTGAAAACATTGCTTTAGTTTCTCATACAGATTGTGTTTTCTGCCTGAAACTACCTCACTAATTGCTTAGAACAACTAGATTAATAGATGAGTGTCTAAAATGATTTAATCTTAATTTACTTAATATGGGAGGCAGCAAAATATGTGGTTTGTCATCCTTAAAATGATCCAACAGGATACAGCTTTGTGTTAGGCTGCTAAACGTTTTGTAGAAAGTCTTCAAAATCAATAAAAGAAATCCTATATCATTTTCTTTTATTAGTTTTTTGAAATCATAGGTTTGACCCCTTGTAGCAGATACTTATTTCTATTTTAAGTTAAAACCTTAAAATAGGAATACGTGATACACAAATTTTATCCTCAGTTTAAGAGGTCTCTAGTGAAGGAGAATACTCGGCAGGAGGCTCACAGAGAAAGTATTTTTAGGGGTTTTTTCATCCCCCTTTTTCCCCCTTAACTCAACATCCTGCGGTTAGGGTTGGTCAACACTCTCTACGCCTGTTCTCCTAGTGAGAGCAAACTACATATCTGTTTCAATGATGATAAAAACCTACATTCTAATTCTTATCTTGTTGGATATGAAAACACTCCTTTATTTTGTCATTGACTTGCACAGGAGAATCTTGACCACATGAGTTAAATTTCCTTCTTTAAAGGACGGTGCTAGCAACTAAAAAACACGCAATGGCATTACCCTAACCTTAAAACTACACTGCAAATTTTTTAATGAAAATAACTAATTTTTTCTTAATATTAGTGCATAATATAAATGAGAAACATTACCAATTGAACAAGATAATTTACATTTAAAATAAAAAACAATAGCGTTTTCTCATTTCAAGCGCATGTTATCTGATTATCTAATATTAAGAGTAAAAGTACTCATTTCATTGGCAAATCATCCTATTTACCTACTCAAATTAAGGATAAATACACTAAATTTAAGAATTTATACTTATTTCTAGTTCATTTTTGCAATGCAGTCACCACGTCTTCATAATTCTTCTGCACAATAATTGGATTTAAGCAAATGGAGTATAAGTCATGGTTTTAAACTTTCTAGATCCAAGCAAGAACAAATATCTGAATATGTTTATAGTTACGAAACAATGCACCCCATTCAGTTACTATCTCATTGAGTAAAGTAAAATCCCTTACGCCATTGGTGTAGTCACTATATTAATTGGAAGACATATATACATTAGTGTTTAGTTTAAGCAGGTACTAAAGTATAATCAAAGATGCATTTAAAGAGACCCTTAGTAACTCTGCTGAACAGAACCAGCTAAGGTGAAAAAATGTGCCAAAAATTTATTAGTTGTGAACTCAACAAGTTTTTTCTTCTGCTGGTGAAAGAAAGTTATAAGAAGCATTGCTCACTGCATGAACACAGCAAACATCTTAATGATGTTATGGTTCTGAATGATCCAGCTCATTCCCTGCTCCGTCTCAGCTGCCTTTGTAAACGTGGCCTCTTCAGACAGACAGTGCAAACTTTTGAAAGCCTTGTGTGAGTCTCCCTTCCCTGCCTGTCTGAGCTGAACCAACTTTCTATCTCCTTGGTTTTGCTGTCTCACCTTGTCCTTGTCAGACTACTCATCAACCTCTTCTTTCTGGACAGTGACCATGTTTATGAACCATGACCAATGCAACTTACCCAGCCCATGGATTATTCTCTCTAAAACTGCATGCTTGTTTATGTTTTATTTTTTGGCTCTTGCCCATTCCATAGATTCCACTCTGATCTCAACAAATCCAATCAAAGCTGGTGTATGCTTGCAAGAATCCACCTGTTATGACATAATGACACCCTTGCTGCCTTTTGGATTCCCATGGAGCACAAATAACCTTTGTTCAGAACCAGTGCCCCAACCTAGACATGAATCACTGGGACACAGGGAGGGCAGACTGAAACTGAACAGTTTGGTGGCTTTATTTCTAACTTTTCAGTTGACCTTTGAATTTTCAGGAGCCTCTACCTCCTTTTTCTTTCTTCCAGGTGTTCCTGGTGGTGCTCTCTGCTGTTTCCTGCTTCTCACAAGAGTCTTTTACGATAAAACTTTTTACGTTCACTTTGTGTCTGACTGAAAGTTGTCGGCCGTCGGTCTGAATCTTTACAGATGAAGGTGCTCTAGTCTGATTCCAAAAAAGCAATGCAAAATAGTTTATGGATATTTATTTATAATTATATACAAAGAAAGGTAACGGATGTGGAGTGTGATTAATTATTTAATTCCTGAAAAGTATCACGTATTTCAAGTATTATTCTATATATAGCTGATGAAGCCTCTCTAAACTTTCAACTTCATATAATAAGAACCTTCCTTTCGAGCATATTTGGTACTTGTGTGTGTCAGTGTATCTTTCATACCTGTTTTTTACATATGTACCTATAGTTGGAGAATTTCTTTATTTTTGCATTTTTTAATGAATATTTCATAATTGCTCCTCCAGTGTGAAGCAAAATTCCTCTTAACTCTTTTTTTTTTTTTTTTTTTTTACACTGCATTAATGCAATGCTGTTTACTTTGAAAATCATCTTAGAAATAAAATTTAAGACATACCGTACCTTTAATGAATTTGGAGCATTTGTATTTGTGCAAACAAATTTCTACTAGCTTGTTCAACAAAATGGTTTTCAGCAATCAGTTTTCTATAAACACATTTGTTGTATAAAGAGTACACAGTAAAGACATAGCATGACAAAGCATAAAGTTCGCAGGGAGCCTGTTCAAGTCATTCAACAGGTTTTTTTTTTTCCTCCACCTCTATTTTTGCAGGATCAGATGCATGCCTATGTCCAGCTAAACAGAGCTCTTAGTTTCTCTTCCTCCCCTCCCTCCACTCGTGAGGCATTGTAACCAAGCAGGCCAATCACAGGGCTGCACAGTACTTAAATACAGCCTCAGATTATCTGTTTTTTGCAGAGGAGCACAAACACCTCCTGCATCACTCTGCTCTCCTCAGACATCCCAGCTTTCACGTATGCAAGAAGATTTTGAATAGAACCTCTCATCTTCGACCTGCTCTACCAAAATGTGCCTTTTCACCATTGCCCTGCTGTTTGCTGCACTGGGTGAGTCACTGTTTTAAAATCTTTTGCAAACAAGCCACAGTGGTAATTAAAATACCAAACACTATTTACTATAGGAGTTTAAAATCATGTGGGATTGACAGGGGTCTGTTGTGATTTTCACAGCTGTTTTCACAGAGGAATTTTTTTATATGCTTATCTCTGAACAGCACGTGTTCAGTGACTTTTGGGTACTGTGTAGGTTTATTTGTAATGTTTAACTTACTCTGAGAGCCATGTGTCTGTTGCTTCATCCTCTCGGTTTGCTCCCTGAAGCTCAAATCATACTACTACCTGGAAACTCTGATGCATCCACTTTAAGGGTAAAGATCCTTCACTTTGAGTTAAATGGTAAACAGAACCATGGGTGGCTGTGTGGAAATAGCATTTCCATTGTTAAATGTTGCTCTTAATCTTCTGCAGGCTGATTAATCTCAGAGAAACCAAATAATCCAGGTTTAAGGTGTAAATTGAAGGAGAAAAAGAAACTTTGAAAGTTTAGACAACTTTTTTCAGCCAAACAACTTAATCTGTATGATTTATTCTGATACATATCATAAAAAGTATTAACAAAGTATCATCTTCATAGAAAATAAGTACTTGCTTAACAAAGTGGTATATTTTGTGTAAGACCACTGCACTGTTAATGAAGGCACCAATCATTTTCCACCCTGTAAGCTTACAGTGACATCATCATGAGCTCAAAACAGCTTTTCTCACGTCTAATAATTTATGAGTGTTTTTTTCCAAACAAGCTAAGAAAAAGAGAAGACTTTCGTAAACAGAAAATTAAGTTTTAAACTAAATCAGGATTTTAAAAAGTCTGGCTTATGTTTTGATTTTTCTGTTTATCCATCATTCCAACCCTCTGATGATTAAAAAATTGTATTTATCCATCTCACAGATTTCTTGCTATTTTCTATCCCTTTTCTAGCGGTAGTGGGTTTGGCCTGGGAAGTCTTAGTTCAATGAATATCATTGTCACTCTGTCTCTTTCTGATTGTATAACAGGGTTTCTACAGGGTAGTAAAAGGTAGTAAACTGAATGAACTAAAATTAAGGCCAATGAACGGTAACAAACAGAATTCAACTTGGTAGTAAAATGTTTTACATTTTTTCACATTTCCATTTATGCAGATTTTTTATTTGAAGTTCATTTAACTATAATGTCTGGATAAAAATTATAACTATATACGACAGGGCCTGAGCTGTATCTGATAGACTCAGTTGTTTCTGCTGGCTGATCTGCTTTGCTGAGTGTTGGAGCCAACTAATATGTTGAAGGTAGAGTCAACATGGAGAATCTAAGCTTTTACAACTTTGGCTTACTGTAAAACTTAAAAAAGGAGGTTAAACTAAAGTGATTTGAGGAAACCAATGGCCTAAACAGTTTATTAACTCAGACTACCGGTATTTAATTTTAATTTTTTTATATTACATACAAGTTTGTTAAGTAACGTAGTTAACATTTGAATTTTCTGTTTTATTCAGTAATTCTGAATTAGTAAAGTTTTTACAAAAGAATGCTTTTGTGGCACCCGAGAGGTGCGATCATCTTAAAAACAAACCATAAAAACCAAACAGACTGCGGCGATTGTGAGCAGGGCTTTAAAAAGTTTAATGGATTAAAATCCAATAAAAAAAGAGATAAGATAAGTTAAAAGGGAAAGATTAAAAGAAAGATAAAAATCCAGATGGTGGAGAGCAGCAGAGTCAATGGGCAAGTCTGTTAAAAGACGCACTCTTGGCGGGTATAATGGAGGGCACCGTCCACCCCAGCACTGGATCCTAGTTCCGGTACGCTGCGCGTGTGGGCCTCTCCAGCGTAGCTGGCCTGAGAGGTCTCCTCCAACACGCGCCTCTCGCCAGCGTGCCTCTGCGCCTTGCTCCATGACGGGCCTCTCTGCACTCCGCTCCGGTGCGCGTCTCTCCGGCGTGCGTCCTTGCACCTCGCTCCGGTGCGCGTCCCTGCACCTCGCTCGCTCCGGTGCGCGTCTCTCCGGCACGCTCCTCTCCGGTGCGCGTCTCTCTCTCCGGTGCGCGTCTCTCTCTCCGGTGCGCGTCTCTGCACCTCGCTCCAGCGGGCCTCCTGCCGTCAGTCCCCAAACCTCTCCCGCTGCTTCACTCTTTCACCCGCTCCGTCCGGCTCCCTCCATGATCGGCCTTCCCATGTCAAACCTTCCCATGTCAGGTGTGTCTCTCCCCAACCAACCAGCAGCCCTTTTTAAATCAGCGTCCCAGTCGGCACGCTGCTTAGTTGATTGGGAACACCTGTGCCGTTGCTGTGGGCGTGTCCAGGTGTGAGTGGCAATGTGGCCTCCAAACAAAATCCAAACAAAAACATGCAATACACAAAATTGAAAACAAGCAAACAAGTTCAAAAATAAAGAAAATCCAAAAATTAGAATACATGCAACTAAACAAAAAGGCCACATTACCACACTTTTTAACTGCTTAGATTCATTAATTACTTTTACTATTAACCATCGACATTTCATAAGCAGTGGACTCATTAGGGGGAGGCCTACTTTGTTTTTGGAGCTACACAGAGTCGTGCAACTGCAACCTCAGGTTCAGACCTTTCTGACACCAACTTCAGAGCTCAGTGCTAAGGTTCTCTGGTATCTAAAAACTGCTGCCAAGCATCACTTGTACTCCTTAAATTAGAGCATCGGGGGGTTCTACCAAACCTTGTTCACAGAGTCTGACATTGCCAAATGATTTGCATGCATTAGAAGGTCTTAGTCAAGACATATGCTTGATTTTGTATTGGTTTTAATGAATATAGTAGAGATAGTAAAACAGGTAGTAAACTCAACACTGGGATTCCTGTACAACAACATTAAATTATTCACAGTGTCATTACCCCTAACAAGTTAGATCTGAAGTGTTCCAGATATTCTTGTGGGTGCTTACCCGACCTCTGGGAGGATTTGATAATAATGTTGGCAGGACAGCCTCTATTATGAGGTTAATTCATTCTTTTAAAATTTTTTCCATTCATTTATAATGGTTCGCAGTGTGGTTCAGTGGAGTCCCAAATCCTCTTAAATACTCTAAAGTATTTAAGGATTGATAGATGTCTTTTTTTTTTTCTCATCTAATAATATAATACAACAAAATAATGGACTTCAGGTTCTGTTTTTAATTCTTGCTGTATGGTTCTAGGAGAAATTAGGCTTAAGCATTAAAATATAGGCAAGACAAGTAATTACATGAATTAAAAAGTGAAATAGAAAGAAAATAAAAGCAGACTATAGACATGATAAAAGTTGGACCACAAACTTAATCTAATGATATACCACAAATATAAGGTCAATCACTGTGAATTGATGGCGAGTTAATTAGCTGGATACCTTGCATAGTTTTAAATCAAATTTTTAGTACAGGTTAAATGTTTCTGGTTACTTACAATTTTTTTAATATTCTGTATCTTAGATATTGGCTATTAAGATTTATATGTATATATTTACCAGGGGTGCAAACTCAAAAGCATGAGCATGTATTTTATATATGTTAAAACATTTTGTACTCCTTTTAAATATTCAGTAAATTCTGTTGACTGCTGAAAAACATCATCTAGTCTGCATGACTTTAGAAATTCATAATTAAATGCACGATTTGATTAAACTTTGGATCAAAATTTGTACAAATATTTGCATCTATAATTAGGCTCTTTGATTTTTAAAAAATGCTTTGAAGTGACATTTGATTTTAATTTATCTAAATAAACTCAGTAAAAGTGAATCACATACAGTTATATAAGAACTGTTCACTTTCACATTCTTTGCAGCATTTGTGACTTTAATTCAATAAAGATTGCTTTTCAATGTGTTACGTCTTGCTTTAAATTCATTCACAGTTCCAACTTTTGTTGAGTTTTGAAATTGGTGTTTAAATGACCAAAAACAGCTAAACATAAACTGAACAAAATTATATCTGTCACTGCATTATTAATTGCAAAGTCAATCAACAGGTTGAAATTGGCACGAGTTGTGCTCATATATTTTCTAGCTATCATATGTGCTGATATTTGGTACCAGCTGCATAACTTTTACTGTTTCAAAAATGTTGTGCCACAATTTCTTTCATTTTTTTATTATCAATATTTTTTAGCAATCAAAGATGACTTTAACATATAGCTCTAATTTTAACCAATGTCCAGCTATAAACCATATGCTTATTTGGTTTGTCCATTAATCACCAGAAATTTGTAAAAAGTATGAATAATTTGCTGCTAAATCAACAGTTTCACTGCTGTTCCTGCTTGTTTTACTGCAGTGGTGATGATTTTTTTCATCTTCTAGAACCAATATCATTCTTTGGGCGGTCCCCTGGTTCTGCACCTTTCACTTAAAAGGGTTGCTGTAAGACCTTTTAAGGCTAAACAAACATTCTGCTATTAAAGAATAATTTTTGTTAACAGAGTTTAAGTTTTATCAACAACCTTTTAGTATGTTTGAAAATAAATATATTTTCTGGTTCAGAAAATAGTTGTGACCCATCCCTCAGCTTATGCAACACAGATGAAGAAACTTGAAGTTCATTTTCAGAGAGATACTAAAAATACCACCACCTAAAAGGAACTTCTCATTATAGAGATGTTTGGAGATTTTGAAATTTTCAGAGTAAAATATTTCAAGGAAAGTAAGCGAACAGAGTTTAATTTATGTATAATAATATTCATCATCATTTGAAAATCACTAATTTCCAAACGCTATATAAACCAGGCGAAAGGTAGATAAGACAAAGGTTGGCCTAACCGGAATCAAAAGTCATTTTAAAAGATGAGTTTTTAAAAGAGGCTTATGGTCATTTAAAGTTCAGGCACACAAAGATGCAGGCCCATATACAGCCTGTTTCCTTAACTTTCTGAAATCCCACCTCAGGTCAGCACTCAGTCTCCATCCCTTCCCTTATTGCTTAACAGAGTTAGCAAACTCTCTAGCCGACCGGAGTCTGAGTCACATCATGTCAGCAATAAAAATTAATTCTGGGGGAGAGAGGCTGAGCATCTCTAAGCAAATGCAGCTAAATATGCATGCATTAAGTGCAAGAAGTGCAGCAAATTGCATGCATTAGAAGCTGAAAACAGAACAGAGGCTGAGCAGGTGATAAACAGCAGATGAAGAGAAGGATGTCTGAATAAATCCTTACAGGCTGGTAAGAATTAGCTTAAGATGTTATAATTAGCAGACTGAAAAAATAACTAAAAAATATATAGATATTTTGACAGCAAGGAATATTTTCACTAGTACAGAAGCATTGGGGATAGGGATTGGGTACTGACACACCAGAGAACATCTTCCTGATATGAGAAGACTTGTCAGTATTAGGTCTAATATGATGCAACATAGGAAGGGTGGCGGGCTACAGGGTGGAGGGTGCTTTGATTGACTTTTTTTTATTTTAGATACAATGATGACAAGAGGTATAGTAGACAACAATTAACTAAGAGTTACTACACATAAACATAGTTTAATCTAATAAAAGTAGAAATTGTCATACTCAACATTAAGAGATGGTCAGAATAAAAGGCTGCTCAAAGTGGCCAAACACATATGGATAAAAGGTTTAAATAACATGTTTAAAAAAATAAAATAAATATTTACACAATCAGGTAGAAAACATACTTTAACCCCTAAAGCTGCTACAGAAAAACAACAAAAGGCAAAGCATAGAGAAGTTGCTGGGACAGGACGAGATTTTTTTAATATGGGAGTGGGATGGGGCAAGAGTGAGAATCCGCTCCCGCATCAACCTCTACTTCAAAACCTGCAAATGAAAAAGCTCTATTCATGTCATAGAGTCATTTTTTATTTTTTTTTGTTAACAGAACCAAATTAAACAACTGACTTAAAATGTATTAAAATTGTAACTATTAAAATTAATATGTTATCATATCCTAAACTGAAGCAAAAAAAAAATAAAAAAATAAAATAAATTTCCCCCAAAATTGGGTTAGTAGATAATTTGATATTTGTAGGACTGTTATACTTTCCAGTTGTTAACTGGTTCCCTCTTCATTTTTGTCTTTTCAGATGTTGTTTCCTGTGCTAAGTTTGTGGCACCTTTAAACATGGAAGGAGTATTGGGTCAAGTGGAGTTTGACTCCGACAACCAGATGGCTAATGTAAATGTGTCTGGTGCAGGATCCTGCCCTGCCATAAATATTTCCCTCACCGTGTTCCCTGTTATGTATGGCCATTTTAGTCAGCCCTGCTCTGAGGCCAACATTGGAGGCAGTGTCTTCACATTCACTGCGGATCCTTCCTCAGATTCCCCCATCAGCGTATCAAGTGTCTTTGAAAGAATATCAAATTTGGATGACTATTCACTATTGTTGCAGACATGCAACGGCACCAAAGTATGCACGGTTATAAGTCAAGGACAGACATCATTGACTCGCCAGGCCAGGTTCACCGAATCTGTTGCTGGCAACATCTACATACGTGCTAATCAGGGAAATACCAACCTTCGGCTTCTAGCAGACCTGGTAACCGTTGGTCGAGTGAATGCACCAGTGACCAATATCACAATTTTGGGATCTACAAATCCAGCAGCTACATGCAGTGAATTGCTTGGAAGCTTAGATCCTGCCACTTTAATCAGTGTAGGTGTTGTGAAAATTGGAAACCCTTTGAATCCTCAGAAATCTCGCCTGGACCTTAACACCTACACAGCATACACTTATCTTCTCCTCCAGTTTGGGTCCAGTTACAAATGTGCTCAGGTATACACCATGTTAGAGAAAGAGGTGAGAGCAGTTATGAACATGGGAGGTATCATGGGATATTTCAACTTTCGTCAAGCTTCACCTTTTGATACGACACAGTTCAGCTTAAATCTGACAAACTTAAGGGAACTAGTTGGCCCCTACCACGTCCATGATTTCCCTGTCCCTTCAGTCAGGTCAAGCCAGTGCTCTAATGACAATGTGGGTGGTCATTGGAATCCCTTTAAGGTTGACACTACTCTCTCAAGGTACCCCTCGGGGCCTGGGTCAACTCATGACATGTATGAGATTGGTGACCTGAGTCGAAAACATATGTCTCTTAAAGACAAAAACGCTTCGGCGGGGACATTCACTGACTTCAACCTTCCTCTCTTTGGACAGAACAGCATTGTGGGTCGCTCAGTTGTGATTCACGAGGTTGATGGTACCAGGTATGCGTGTGCCAGCATTGGCTATCCCGGGGAGGTGGTGGTAGGTAGTGCCAAATTTCAGACTCCTTTGGTTGGAAAGATCACATTTACCCAGTTGGTGAACAATCCCCTGTCAGATGTTTCTATCTTCATGGATTTGTCGTACGGAGATCCTACAACAACACCAACCAAAAACCATAATTGGCATGTTCACATATTCCCTATTAGCACAGAGAGAGATGATGATGAAGGGCAGTGCAGCTCAACAAGTGGTCACTGGAATCCATTTAACATCAACACAACTGATAGCAGCTACACACTTCATTGCAATCCATCCTGTCCCCTTTGTTGTGAGGTCGGAGACCTTGCTAACAAACACAACACCATTGATCTCGACACCAATGTAGGACAAGTGAACTCCAAGCACTTTTTCACCGATGTTACTTCCTGGTTAACCGTGTCAGGCATAATTGATCGTTCTGTGGTCATCCATGAAGCACAAAGAGGAGGCCCGAGAATTGCATGTGCTAATGTTACCATGGTACGGGTCCCTGAAGCAAGTGTGGGCAGTTGGTTTGGCCCCGGTTCATCCGGTGGCCAAATAAAATTTTCTCAAGCTGTCCCACAAGGCCCCACAGTAATCAACGTGTCCTTAAGTAACCTGCAGTCCTTAGCTGGAGGGTACCATGTCCATATCTTGCCAATTGTAGCTGGTAGACCTGATCCTTGTTCAGATGCAAACATCCTGGGTCACTTTAACCCATTTAACTGGGACATAACCACTTCCCCTCCACCTGGAACCGGCACTGTGGACCAGTATGAACTAGGGGACATTAGTGGAAAGTTTGGGATGCTTACAGACCAAAATGACTATGAAGCTGTCTTCAGGGACCCAAACATGCCTCTAACTGGACCTTACAGCATTGTGGGAAGATCTGTTGTAGTCCACTACAGAAATGGATCAAGGTGAGAAACAACAAAAATGTTTGTTTATAACAATAAAGAGGAAGAACAAGATAGGATATGAGAATGAAAGACAGAGGTCAATCAAATGTTTGAAATAATGCCACAGGTTCCTTCATCTTAAGAAGAACTGCGTAGTAAAGTTTTCACCCTATGGTGTAACCATTCTTATGCATAAGATTAATGCATAAGAATGGTTATGCATTAATAACCATTATTATTATTATAAGAATGTTATAATAATAACATGTTATATTATAACATTATAATGAATGTTATAATAGAATTATTAGAATTAATAATTATTAGAAAAAAATGTTATAATAGAATTATTAGAATTATTAAAAGTTCCTCCAACATAGAGGAAGTACTTGGCCTCCAGAAAGCATTTTATTAATTAAATAAGAAATGGTAAAATGGCAAACAAGGTTGAAAGAAAGCACCATATCTTTGCAGATGAAACAGAATAACAGGATTTACTATTGTCATAGAACATAGTAGTCAATCATGCCAATCTTTTGAGGGTAGTTGTATACGTAAATTCTCCTGAGTGTTTTGTGTTAGAATATTTTGTATACTATAAGGCTGCTAAATAGAATATTGTGAAAAATGAATATTTAGGGCAGGGGTGCCCAGGTTCGGTCCTTTAGAGCTACCATCCTGCAACTTTTGGATCCATCTCTTCTAAAACACTCCTGAGTCTAAAAGAGGAATTCCCTCAGAAGGTAATTCAGCTCAGCATGCAGAGGCCTCGTAATGAGCCACTCTTTTAAATCATCAGAGAAAGGATGCATCTAAAACTTTCAAGATAGTAGCTCTTGAGAACTGGACCTGGGCGGTCCTTTTGTAGGGTGCTTTGTAATCTGTCTCATAATGCCTGTCTCAAGAGAGATCTGTTTATTTTCTCTTCAGAATGAGGTGTGCAGATGTCTCCGCAGACAGAAATCCAAGAGGACAATGGACTTTGGCCAGTGCTACATTTAATGGAACAGTGACTGGGACAATCAAACTGGTAAAAACCACAAAACCATGCAAACCATTACTGCATAGGTTTTTATTTGTAGCTTCAACAAAAGGAAGAAAATGTGCCAGCTGCAGCTAAGACAGCTAAGGTTTTTAGAGATGGGACTTACTCAGTGTAGCCTCAGTGTGTGCCCACACCCTGGAATTTTCTGACTCCTAAACCCAAACCACAGCATTATGTCCTCTCATGTTGCAAACCTAAAACACTTAAAACTGTAATTATGAAACTATTATGTCAAATGAATTAGCATTTCAATTGCATAGAGAAAAATGATGAAATATGACTATAGTGTTTCCTTAAAGTCACTAAGGAAGGTGTCTATTTAACAGCATGGAGAATTTTAAAACCTGATCATAGAAAGCATTGATAAGGGACGCTGTGAGAGTTTGGTAAACCAGGGAGGAAACCTTAGCTTAGCTTAGCATATATCTGCTGGTTAACTGCAAATGTGTTTTCGCTGAACTATGAGGCTCGCCGTGGTATCAGCTGTTTCTGTCAGCTGCCATCCAGAGGCCCCATACTGAGTCCTGCACTAAACCTATTTCAAGGAGGGAACATCAACATGAGCTTATTTTGTTCTGACAAAATAATTTAAGGAATGCCTAAACAGTTTAAAAGAAGAAACCATTCACACATCAAATGGATCTTTCTGTCTCAGTCTCTGTACTGAGCTAACATAACTGGACATCAACCTTCCTGTATTTTTGCTAATATCACACACCTTTGGTTTTGATCTCTTTAAGCAACAGCAGATGTTTCCTGATGGGAGTAACGGTGATGTTACACTGCTAGTGGATCTTAAATCACTTGAAAGTCGAAATGTAAGTACATTTTTATACAGTGAGAAACTCTCTTTTTCAAAAGTCAAAGCAAATATCCCAAATCAAAAGTACTTTTATACTAGTTGCTGTTTCTAAAATTACTTGCAATGCTTGTATGTGCAAACATTTAGTCTGCACTGCAAACCTCATCTTAAGCTGAAAGTTTTGTAAAGATTTAGATTTTTTATTTTATTTGTATCTTAAGAAATGTCAAAATTCTATGATAGGAAAAAAAAAAACTAACAATTAGCTACAAAAAATGGTGAGTAAGGTGCATACTGAGACTGATTGGAAGCATTGTTGGAGGATTTTAATCAGGTGTATGTCTACTTTCTCTAATTATATTTTTTTCTCTCCTTACAACCATTAATTCAACTATAAAATGAAGCAGAAACATTTCTGGCATTTTAAATCTTACAGACTGCTGCGGCCTCCCTATTCATAGCAAGCAATCGTGTGAATTCCATGAGTGACCTGTGTGACAGAGTTGGAGACACATTCAATCCCTTCAACATGAAACTAATGGTGAGGCTGTTGCTGCTGAACAGAAATACATCATCCAATAAGATATATTCATATTCAGACCGAGGAAAATATGAGAAACACATTAGCATAGAAAAAAAAGCAGCCAACTACTAGAGTACCGACATATTACAATGTCGGCTTACTTTTCAAAATGTTTCACAAATGACATCATGCTTTCATACATTTTAAAACAAGCATTGGATACCTTCACTATTGTTGTATCACCTGAAGAAAACATCTAAATGAAAAAATACTTTTAATAAACTGACAATAAAATTATACCTGGAAGTTATTTTAAAATAGCAGGTTGCCGTCTTAATCCTATATAGCTTTGCTCTTAGTGATGTAATTGTATAATCCACTTCCTCATTTCTATTCCTCTTTCAGAGCTCCAGCTGTTCCTTAGAAAACCAGTTGAGCTGTGTGGTTGGGGAAGTTTCCGCCAGGCAAGGCAACGTCAGCCTGACTGGGAGAGAAGTCTACACTGACAGCAATATCCAGCTGTCAGGAGACCACACAGGTGAGAGGGCCGGAAATGACTATCAGTCCTAAAAGGTTTAGCTGCTTGGCTGGTTTTACAGTTACATGCACCATAGAAACATCATAACGTCATCTTCCTGTAGCTTTAAATCATTTACTGAATTCAAGTATATGACTTAATGTTCTGTTTAAAAACAAGTTGTTTACAGATCTGTCGTGCTTAAGAGGGGTGATAGCATCCTTGCATGTGCTGACATCCTCCCAGATTCCCCATCTGCAGAGCAGACCTTTCCCAATGTGAGCTCCTTCAGTCGGTGAGTGAAATAAATAAAAAAAAACACTTCTTTAAATATTCATCTATTTCTGCAAAAACTCCATCATTAACACTAATTCCTAAACTGCTCAAATATATTTAAATGTTCCATGTGAGAAAATGTTAAGAAAATGTAAAACTGCTGTAAATCTATGGATTACATAACAAGTAGTATTTATGACTTGTTTATTAATTTGTTTTTTGACAGACTGAATAAATACACTATTCTATACATTTGTTATTAACAGTACCTTAATTTCACTCACACATCTTAACAATCTGACCCATTTTTTATTCTCTTACATTTTGATCAATATAGTGATAGACAGTGTTAAAAATGTTTAAATCCTATTCAGAATATTTATATTTACTGCATGCTTTTTCCTAAAAACTTTTTATGAATTCTAAGTTTTCAATTGATGGAGGTTTCCATCAATGTCTGGTTAAGCTAACTTCCACAGATCATGATAGACTATGACTCATGATAACTTTCCTTTCCAAACAAACCCAGATGCTAATGTAGGAAAATAAAGATTTTCTGCTGCTTTTTCACTGTTTTGCTTGACTGAGGCAAAGGCAAGCTGTTGCCATTTCCAAGAGAACTTGTTCATTAGGAATGCATTGCATTAGCAATGTTTAGGACTCCATTTTATGGATATTATTATTGCCTTCATTTCATGGAAGTTCTGTTTTAGTACATTTTTGTTGCAGTACTGAACACATCAAGCGCAACTTTAATCATCTATGTTCAGACTCATTTTCTGTCTGAATGCATCACCTTAAATAAATACATTTGCATCTATTTTTCCGGATTTCATAAAAGCAAAACTGTTTTAATCAAACAAACTCAAAAAGCTGAATTTCCTGTAGAGGATAGGAAGTGCTGTGAAATATTGAAGCTATTGTTTCATGACACCTGTTGTCAATATTCAACCAAATCAAATGACAGTTGTACTAAAGGGTATTTCAAATGTAAAACAATAATAGATGCAGAAAAGTTCTGGGTTCAAACTATTTATCCTACATGATCACTTTAAGCACCATAAAATGCTGAATTTTTCAATTCCTACACAAACACATCCGGCTAATACTAAAGAGTGTGATATGCAATTCTGAAGTGTTTTTTTTTCTGCACTTACAAGAGAACAAAAATCCCCTTTCATGATCTCCAATTGAACATCTGTTGTTTCCTCCATTTCCCTCCATTAACCCAGAAACCATTTTTAGCACCAACCAGTAAGATTGGTATTTTGACATTCCATTGTTATCAGGAAGAGATGTTATTTTTTTTTTCCAGGTTAAAAAGGTTTCAAGGTTCAAGGAAGCATTGTGTTTTTTTACCTTTAGTGTTTCCGTTTGCTTTAGTCTTAATGTTTGGGTTTGCATGCTTTGCTGTTAGTGACGTTTAATTCCAGAGAAAACAGCGCAAACCCGGAACTGTGTGGCAACTGGCAATATTTATATATGCAACCTTATCAGTGTTTCTATTGCAAGCCCAAGGTGGTTGAACTTTAAAAAGTTTGGTTTCCATATGTTGGTGCGCACAAACAATTTGGCTGATCTATGAAAAAAACACCTAACATTTATGTATGTGAGAATTGAGCTGGTAGATGCAGCAGGATCTCCACCCCTGCCGTCTGTGTTTATCTTCAGCTATCTGTTCTTATTAGACTAAAAGATGTTTGTGTTTATTTATACCCAGATATGATTTCCGAAGGAGAGTCGCAGATGTTCTGGGGATGGAAATGGCGAGGATAACCATCCTGCCCGGCTCTCCCCTCTCTGCAGCAGATGGCCAGTGTCAGAGGGTCAACTTCATGGTCTCAGGTAAGGCAGAAAAATACACACTCGCTTAAAAACAATTTATGTTATACATATAAAACACTAAACAAAAATTATCTAAATAACTCAAAATGCAAAAAGACATTCCGCTTTCTCCATTCCAATTGCATAAACTTTGCTTTGCTAAAGTATTAACACCTCTTGAAAGTATTTTTCCACCATCATCAAACATTATTTACATTTACATTATTTACAAAATATCTCAACACTGATCGAATGGAAATAATATATGTTACCATAATTTTTCAATTCTTGCTACAGAGTTTCAGTTAATTTAGGTCTGGACTTTGACTGATCCCTTCTAAAACATTAACATTCCTCAATTTTATCTTTTCTATTATAATACAATACATGCATTCTATTGCTAGATTAGCCTGTGTTTAGCTTGACTCGCCAACTAACAAGGTGTTGGTGCCCGCATCATGTTTCACAATCCAGATGTAGTGCTCAGGATGAGTCAGTGTTCATTTGTCTCCACTTCTCACATGAAAAAAAATATGTTTTGTTTTGTTCTCCTAATGCCTTGAAGAAAAACTTTAAACTTGAGGATTGTATTGAGGATTCCATATTGGGCCTCTTCCATAGGGCTACAGTTGTGGAATGCTAACTAGTAGTTGTCTTGTCAAATTCTCCCACCTTTTTCCATTTTTTTTCTTTAAATACTGTAAACCAGAGGTCACCAACCTGTTTTAGGTTGAAAGCTAATGAGACATAGGAAAGGCTACCAATACTGACCTATGAAATGGAGGAGTAGGTGTTCACCTAAACTTCATGCATATTTTCTTTTTTTTTCATTTCTAATTTTCTTTTAGATGTTGCCATTTTGAAATCTCTTTAAATGCAAGTGGGATTAAAAAAAGAAGAGAAACAGAATAAAATAAAATGTCATACTTAGCCCACTGTTGAGTTGTGCTGTTTCAGGAGACACCAAGGGTATTTAGGGCTCCTTGGTGCCTGTGGGCACCATGTTGTTGACCCCTGCTAGAAACCTTTCTAAAACTTTACATTTCACCTGTCTGCTGTACTTTTCGGTCTTTGTGCCGATGTATGTTTACTGATGTTCGTCACCAATCCTTTGCAGCTTCAGCAGAACTGCTGTTTTTATACTGAGATAAAATCAGAGTCAGCTGAACTCTGCTTAATAAATAAGGAACATCTTATGTTAGCTGTTGCCAAGTTGTTTTATTGAGGGTATTGGGCTAAAGGGCATTAGATACTAAGGTTGCCAGATTTTTTAGATTTATATTTGACTTTTTAACAGTTCCCTGCTTTCAAGTAGGTTGATCACATAAAATAAGCACATAAGTAGGTTGATCACATAAAATAAAACACTGAAGTGTGCAATTGACATGTGACAAAATATTAAAGAAAAATACGATTTTGCACCTCACTGTAAAATTCATTTAAACCAAAAAAGCCAAGTTCATAATAATGGTTTAAATAGATCTCAGATGAGTCACAATGTGATGTTATTATAGTCTTTATGAACTGCGGGAATCTTTGCAGCTCATGTTTGCAGGAGGTTAACTGTGGTCTAGTGATGTAACCACGTCAACATGTGCTGACTCAAAGCATCAAGCTGCTGTCATTTTTCACTAAGCAACCAGTCAATGACAAAAAAGTGTGTAATCTCTGAAACCTGAACTGAAAACTTTTTAGCAGCCAAAGGAAATAAAATAAATGTTAACATAAACTGGCACAGAAACTAACAATGTGAAAACATTTTAATGTGGAAATAGCAAAATTTAGGATTATGTTTCCTTATTTTAACTCGGAATGTGTGCTATATTGTCTGAGAATTTTGTCGGGTGTTGTAGTGAATAATGGCTTCTAACACTGAACTGGACAACTTGTAAGTCCCAATATTAGGACAATGAACAATTACAGGCATTGAAGAATCTTTAGAAATCCTTAGAAAACTGTTCGGGAACCTGACGCTGGGATCGAGTGTCTGTGCATCTCATTGTCTGTCCCCGGGGGGGAACAGAGGGGTATCTGTGCAGAGGTTTAAAACAGTGTAGCACAGAACCGGTAACTATACCCTCACAAGGGGAAAAGTTTACCAGAGTGAGAGTCATGAACCCCCCAACCCCTTTTTTTATTCTGCTCAAAAGCATTATAGAAGCACAAGTAAAAGTTGCAGGTTAGTATTCTTAACACTATAGATGTTTCCCTTTTTCATTTATAAATGATGTGAGTCTATAAGTTGCCCATATAAACATGAAGGTGGGCTTTCATCTTGCTACAGTTATTATTCATTAGAAAAATTCTGTTTTTTTTATAATTTTTGTTTTTTGTTGAAAATCTTAATAGTAATATTAACATTTTATATTACTGTGTGTTTTAAAGGGGAGGTCAGTGTGGACCTGCTTAATTCTGTCAAAGCGAGTGAGAAGATGGGGCCATTCAAAGAGAGTGCTGAATGTGAAAGTAAGTCCTGCTTCTTATTTTCAACTTTTGCCTTCACATCTATGCGGGGGAGTATTTGGATACCTTATCAACGGATGATTCCGGGTTGTTATAAACTTCCTGGCATTTTACAGGTTCTTGTCAGAGACCTTTAATAAAAAAAGAGGAGGAAACATTAAACAATAACTCTCATATAAACAACTCACTGGTGCAAGAATGACCTTTAATTTTATGATATCAGAAACCAGTTTTAAAAAAAACGAAACGTGTCTCATTACTGAGGTTTTGTGCAGAACTTTTATGAAAGTGAGTTGTTTGATTTTTTAGTAAGAAAAGTGTTAAAACATTATCCGAGGCTAGACCAACTAATATAGATGAGTGTAGATAGAAGAGTATCACACTTTAATCTTTGTTTTACTCCTCTTAAAGTGTCAGTTTATATTTCACGCCCTGTTTGTACTTCAATAAAGTAATCTAAAGGGGTAAATCTTAGGTAATAACACTGCTCTTCTGATTGAACATAAAAAAAATATTTCAAATACTGTTAGATCCACTTGGTTTGGCTGTAATTACAAGATATTCCCTTATAATAACATACCATATTTTTGTTAAGTACCTTATATGGCAAAAAGAAGTGTTTTATAATTCAAGCTTAGATACTTTATTATTCCAGATGTTGTTTCCATTTTTGTCTGTTACATAAAGTTAAGATAACATGTACTGATCTTTATTTAACGTAACTCCTTCATTGACCTCTGATAAACCTTTTTAATGCTGCCGTTTTGAAATTGGACCATTTGAGTGAATGTTATCTATTCTCAGGAGGTCACTGTGAATTATTTTGCTTTGATCTGGGCTGTTATCTGTTGAGAGTCTGACTAAAACAGACTGAAAGAGGAAGTAAAGTGTGGCTTAGATTATGAGGAGACAGTGATATAGATGCTGCTGGAGACTGTTCTAAAATATGAAAACTATGCATCCTGCTGTAAGTTTTTGAAAAAAACAAAAAAGACTCTAGTCTTCCTCTTTTTTATGTCTAAAATAAAATAATTAAAGGCTCGAGCACAAAAACTGACTTTATGTTGATTTGAAATAAAAAATGTTACATTAGGTTCACCCTTTGGTCGATAAACATCACTGAGCCCTGAAATGAAAGGTATGGCCATCATAAGCTACACTTTAGTAAGAACAACACTCATCACTCAGTCCTGTTTTTCCCTTGAACTACAGTTAAGTATCTCTAATTGTGTTTGGAGAAGGCAGATAAGAATATTTGACCAATTACAATAAGAAAAAGTAACATCTAAGTAGTTTGAGTGTATAAAAGGCATTCATTTAAGGAAATCTAATCTAGGAATCCCCTCCTTACTTGATAAATAACTGCAGCTTAAGACCTTTTATTAATCTCCTATTTAACCTGTATGTTCCTGTCTGATTTCTGCAGGAAGTTCTGGAGGACAGCTGGTGTTACCAGGAATCTTCACACTATTGCTGATGTTTGCCGCCTCCTTCCTGTTGCCATCTGCAGCATCTTCTTAGATCTGAGTCCTGGCTGTACTGTGCAATACTCAATAGGAACACATGAGTCCTCCTGATGTATAGCTGTGAATCAGAATTGTCACTTACCAAATGTCACAGTGGTCATTGAGCAAATAATGTCCAACTTTGTACAAACTTTATGTCCAAATGAAGATCTTCCAGGTTTTTTTGTTGAAAAACATGTTAGAAATTAGTTGGTATATCTTTTTTTTGTATAAATGTCATCTTTAGGTACTTAATGTTGTTCATCTGGGCAAGATGTAATGTTTTGTTTGTATTTTAATGTGAAATGTTGGAAAAGCTTTACATTTTTCAATAAAAATCTCAAATTGTATGTTTTCCCTCAAACTTAACAAAATAAAAAGCATAATTTGATGAGCTAAAAAAGGCAGATACAAATGCAGATACAGATATAAATACTTGGAATGGAATCTAAGCATCAGAGGCCTAGTTTACACAGTGAACGAATGTTGGTAACAAACAACTTGTAAACTTTATTTGAGCAGTTAAGGTTTATTGAGATTACAAATCTATTTTGCAAGAGAGAAATACATTTAACAAAAAACTAAGAATCTACACATTTGTTTCTTCAAAAAGGCTCACTTTGTAAAAGTTCCATTTTATTTGAGAAGTTACTGTAATCCATCAATGGGAAGTATTTCTATTGTTGATTACCTCTGTTTCCTATCTATGAAAGGTGATGGATGCTTTAAAATAATATTCATGGTCTTTACAGTTATTAGTTTATTTAATCCCCCCTGAATTTTAGTTTTAAACATATCATTGTTATTATCCTAAGCAATTTCTTATGTCAGTATTATAAGATAAAGTAAACAAAATGACTTTTATAAAATAAACATTTCAGGATTCCGTTGCTAATTTGTATCAAAGTATAGAAGCAAAAAAATTAATTCTGCAAGCACTGATGATATGTGATATTTGAATGTTAAAATAGATGACAGCATTAAAAACTACTACTAGATAACTACTTATTAGGTTTTAGGGTGATGAAACTCAAGTTTTGAAAAATATGTTCTTAAGCAATTTTATTTCTTTGTTTTCTTAAGTGAAAAAAAGAATACCCAAAGAAAACACACCAAAGAGTAATAAAAAGCAGGATAAAGATACGATAATGCAAAGAATTGGTGAATAGTACAACGTTAAAGCAATACTTTTGACATTTTCGTTCTAGTAAGGACAAGGTGGTATAGGAAGCAACTTTTTAAAATATAATTCCTTTTTAGAATTTAAACATATTTCAAAAGAAAAGCAAATGGTTACTCTAAAATTATCATTGCATTTTCCAAAAGTAATCTGGATTAAACTAAGCCTACTTCTATTATAAATCCAACTATTACTTTTTAATCATCTAAATCTTGATCTGTAAGATTCATATACATTAATGTCTAAAAATTAAAATCCTGATAATGATCACTGGGCTTCAAATAATTTAAGTTTAATGTGAAAAATATGGAGTGATTTTTCTGCCAAAACGTGTACAAAAATGCATGTTGTGCACACACATAAAGCATTTTGCAGATGCATAAAGCATGTTTCACACAAACAAATCTTATCACTCACAAATAAACATGTTGCACTCAAATAAATCTTATTGTTCACAAATAAAAATTGTGTGACAAACTCTCATCTAATGTCACACTCAAATTAAACTTTTTTTCAAACTGTCCTTAAATGTTGCACACACAAAAATTAGTTTTACAAACCGGACTCTAACATTGCACTAAAAATGAATCGTGCCGCCTGCTCTGTGCAGAGAGGCAGGGGAAACTGTCGCTGATGGGGAAACGCAGCTCAACGTAACAACGGAACATTTCAGTTGTTTTGATTGTATGGCGCCTCCTGCTGTCGGTTAGTCAGAATGACAATTATCCGTGTATCGCGTGACTTTTGGCACAAACTTACCGTGGAGTGTGAAGAATTGTCTCGTATGCGAGGAGAGGCTGTTTTGTATGCGAGCAGAGATCGATTTGTACTCGGGGACAATTTACAAATTACATTTTCAGTGCAATGTTAGAGTCCGGTTTGTGAAACAAATTTTTGTGTGTGTGCAACATTTAAGGACAGTTTGAAAAAAAGTTTTATTTGTGTGTGACATTAGATGAGAGTTTGTAACACAAGTTTTATTTGTGAACAATAAGATTTATTTGAGTGCAACATGTTTATTTGTGAGTGATAAGATTTGTTTGTGTGAAACAAGCTTTATGCATTTGCAACATGCTTTATGTGTGTGCAACGTGCATTTTTGTACGCAACTTTTTTGCAGAAAAATCACTCCATAGAAAACTGATCTGGTAGTGGTTTGTAGTTTTCACAGAGGAAGAGGCGAGTCTGGATCCCTCCGCGCCTATTGGCGGAGGCTACGGTCATGTGACCGGTGACGTCATTAGGACATGGCAGCCTCCTTGTTTAATAAATAGACACAAGGTCCGAGCTGGTAAACAAAAGCACGCTTCGATTTTTTTTTCTCCCAGGAGCTACATTTGAAAGGCGGAAGTGCGGGTGTGTATGAAGTGTTTATCTGTCGGTCTGTGGGGTGGTTTAGATAGCGACGGTTTGCAGAGAAAAAAGCTGCGGACGGCAACTATTCCCAGATCGGTTATAAACGGCTCTGCGATCTACAGCCATCTTTTAAGCAGTTTAAAGAAAAAGGATATAAAATTGTCTGATTAATTTGTAGAAACGTAGAGATTTTTACTGCACCCAAACGAACCACACCCACTCTGCAATTCATAAATGAGCTGCTATCATCGGCCTGTTGATTAACTCACGACTGCACAAGAAATAAGGGAAAAAACGCTTACAAGGCTTTAGTATTTTTATTTGTAAGCGCCTCAACGGATTGCATTTGCTGCATAGTGATTGCATAGATTGCATAGTGTCTTAAATATTAATAGTAATATCTCTATCATTACAAACTGGTTTAGAATGGTTTTTCTTCTTATATATTAACTTGTAAACAATAATCGCACTCTGAGCTTTTAGCCAATAGAAGAGCTCGGTGATGAACAACACTGAGACCTGATTGGTTGATTTGTAGGTTTCTTTTTACATTGAGGTGTGCCTTCCATCAGTCGACGTGGAGGTGGTAATAAGAAAACAATCTCTTATAACAATGAATTTGGGTAGTCCTTTACTGTACTGTCGATTCATTTCAGCTATCCAATCTATATCATGAAAAACAACATATCTTTTTCTCTGACATTAACAATATTACAAAAGAAATGATGTGTTTCAGAGCTGAAACAATTAATCGGATTAATCAATTATTGAAATAATCGTCAACTAACTAACTACTTTACTAATCCATTAATCGTTAAATGGAGTATAAAGACTCTAAAACATCCGTTTAGCTGAGAAACCCAATTAGAGCACTGATTATATCAAAATTATAAAGAAATATGTAAACATTTTGCAGTTAAGATTAATAAACACTTTTTCGTCTGTTATTGTCCAGAACCCCTTAAAGAACCTTTTTCTGTCCGATTATTAGTTGATTAATCGAAAAAATAATCGACAGATGAATCGATTTGCAGCCCTAATGTATTTATAGACATAGATGTAAAGTTAGAGTCTATACTTGTGGGGGGAATCAGACAGCCAATGATCCCCCACAAGTAGTGTAAACTAGAGAAACCCATTGCTGTCAGCAGAATGCTGTATCCAATCATATTAATGGTAAGTAAGGTGGAAGGAGAGCATTTGATACATGAATGGGTTGATTTTTAATTCTAAAATCAGGTCAGGACTCCTTTTTTGGGTGATCAACAGTATAAATAGCAAGGAATGAAGGCGATCAGCCTGTGGCACAGCTGAAGCATTAATGAAGCTGTGGTTGCTTTGATAGCGCCTTATTGCTTTGTTTAGTCTGGTGAGTTTTCTTCTTCCAGCTTCATAATCCTCCTAAATTTTGGCCCTCCACCACACTTTCCATTATTTTCCTTGAATGTAGCACTTTTTGAACTATTTCCTGCTCAAGCAATAAACCCTTTGTGGACTATACTCTTTGGGAAGGGTGTCACTGGCAGTCCCCCTCCATGACTGGTGACCATAACATAATAATTCCAAATAAATAAATAAAAAGAACCGGATTTTAAAATAATTTTAAAAAAGGCCTAATTTTAGGTTTCTGTAATATACTAAAAGAATAAATATTAGATTTTTTTTTTCATTGTAACTGTGAGCAATCTACAGAAGAGTTTTAATTCATGAATATAAACTGAAATAAATTACATTTATATTTGTATTGCATATTTGATGGATATTCTCATTTATAAAGATGTAGCTTTTAGAAAAAAAACTTTAATGTGCAGAACTTTGATGTAATGTTTAACTCCGACTGTCATCATAGCTGCTGAATTGGCAGATTACGGCAGGTTAAAGATCCAGGTGTGGTCTGTGACTTTGAGCTCCATGTAGTCAGTCCATTTGTGTGAACCTGCAGTGGAAATGGCTTCGCAAAAGTCAGGTAATATGTAGGCCATAAGTATCTTCTGATTAAGGATGACAGCGCTGGAGCTCTCCCATCTGAACTGCTTTTTAACGTCAAAAAGTGTACTTATAAAACGCTTTACTGTTAATTGTTTTTCTTTTTTTTTTGTAATGCAGAATCAGCCATGTCTCCAAAGATCACAGGGGAGCTTCTGCGGCTACTTCGGCAGACAATGAGGAACTGTAAATATTTCTCAGAGCCGATCCATGCCTACATAGTACCATCTGGAGATGCACATCAGGTAAGTCCAAATCATGCATATTATTTATTAGTGATGTCCCGACCTGAAATTGATATCAGATATCAGGCCGAAAAAAGCTAATTTTGAATTTTATTGGCCAGCATCTAAATCTCAGATATTTTCACGCTAATAGAAAAACTCTGCATCGAAGTTTCTGTTACTCATCGGTAGCTGCAGCTGCAGAGGGAGAGCAGCGCTTCACTAACACTGTTTACAGTGAGATCACGAGCTCTGGATACCCATCCAGGACAAGCTAAAGTTGTACAAGTAGAATAGCAGCTTATTCAGTCTCCTGCAAAAGTATTCGTACCTCTTAAAAATGTTTTTGTTCTGCCACTTTCTAACCCCTGACTTCAATGTTTTTTGTTTGGTTGTAGGTTTGTTTACTTAAACTGTCATCCGATTTCATTCATCTTCTTTTTGGAAACCACCGAAAAAGTCCACATCGC